CGCCAGCTCGACGTGGAGGACTACATCGCTCCAGCGACCGGCAGGCTCATCTATCCAGCGGCGCAGACCTTGGAGCAGCAGACGAGGCTGCCCCGCCCCCCGCGCCAGCAAGCGAATCAGGAGCCAGCTGATCAGCCAGCGGTGGGGCTCAGGGGAGCGGTCCCAGTGACTGTGTCACTCGACCTCAGAGTAGTGGTTCGGGAGACTGTGGCATTCGACCATGGGCGAGCCAGCCAGCAGCAGGCGCAGAGCCCAGGCTGTCAGCGCCCCGAGCTGCCGACGCAGCCGTAGGCAACCCGACGTCCTCTGATTGGAGTCTCTTCGAGGGCACCACATTACTACGAGCATTTCGAGGTGACTCGCATGAGACACGCATGCGGGAACTGCGTAAGCTGCACCTCTGGTGGTGGCGCGCCAGTATGGAGGAGATGGTGCGAGCATTGCGAGCAGCCAACAAACCGCAAAACATCCTCGACCTCATCTTCGCGGTGGTCAAGAATTGTAGCCACCGGATGGCCAGATCATGCCAATACTCCGCCTTTTGACGCGACTGGACCAGCGATTTTGGCATAACGGCCAGCAGGTCATCAAAGCACGACTCGACGCTTGCAACCGCCATCGTTCATGAATTCAGCTGTTCGGTGCGTTGGAGACGTTCATCGTGGACGGAGCGGGCAGGATTACCTCGCCGTGCTGCGTGGAGGGGGTGAAGTGGAGAGGAATACACGTGGACATCCGAGCTCCTCATCAACGCGCCCGCTTCGTCGATCGACGCGGTGACATGCTACTACGCGCGCTTCGCGCCACTTGGGCAGCCAGAGCTCGAAGGTATCGCTGCGAACTTCGACTCAATGCTAGGGCTCGCTATCTTTGCTGTCAGCAGCCTCACCCGCGTGGGCGGCGTTACACCATGCAGCATCGTCTTCGGACGGCAGCCGTCCATGCTGCCACCGCTCGAAGCAAGCCCGTGGTGCCTGTGGCTGTGGTGCCTGTGGCTCCTGCAGTTGCGCATCCGACAGATCGCCTTGCAGAGCGTGATCGAGGCCGCGTCTATCTCGCGCGTCATGCGCGCCCTCCGGAGCCGCGCCGCCGAGTCCGGGGAGGGCCGCTTCAAGGTTGACGACCGGGTGGAGATTCGCAGGCCCCCGAGCGCGAAGACGTGTCGGGCTGGGCCGGCCCTGGGACGATCATCTCTGTAGACTGGGCTCGCGGTAAGGTGGTGGTCAAGTACCTTCGAGCCGAGATTGTGCGCGGAATGCAAGACGTCCAGGCCTTCATCGGTGCCGTGCTCGACAGTGCGGGCTCCGGCATGGCGCGAGCAGGTTTGGCTTGGGGCCGCGCGCGTCGCACCTGCCTCCGGGGCCCCCTGCCTCCGCGGCCACGGGGGGGGCGCGAAGGGAGTGCAGATCGCGGCGCAGACCCCAGCGCCCTGACATCCTTGAAACCCTGCGCCATCTGTCACGCAGATGCTTTCAGCTGCCAGACGATCGTGCCCTGCGACTTATACGCGGCCAGAAATCAGTGGGCAACAGGCCAGGTTGCGCCCGCCGCTTGGCTATCTGGTGGTTCCCTCGGTACCCGCTCGACGTCCAGCAGATCCACGTCACTGGCCTCAAGGTCGACGCCCTGCAGCTCATCGGGATCGGCGAGCATTGGGAATAAGTTCGCATCATTCAGTTCATCTTGGGTGACGAGCTGTCACTGGTAGCAGACGCTGGACAGGACCTGGACGGATCGTTCGATGACTGTGTCTTCTACGTCCCCGAGGACGCCGCCAGCACTGCCGATGGTGTTTCACCATCAGTCCTGTCAGCTATACCCTAGGAGACTGACAGCGACTTCTCTGGCCACGTCCAGCTGGTGAGCTTGGCCGCCTGGCGTGAGGTCGAAGGGCCAGAAAGCCTGTCGCAGGAGCCCGAGGAGTTGGAGTGCGCCGACACTCAGCATGATATCAACGCTGCTTTCGAGCATGCAGCGGCCAGCAGTGGCCGCGGGCTCCACGAGTGGCCCCAGCACCCTGAGACGTTGCACCAGCGTCAAAGCACCCACGCGCAGTGCTGCGACTACCTGCGCTCGGCCCCCATGGACGACTACGCCACGCTAGAGGAGGAGGGCGAAGGAAGAAGGCATGTGGTGCTGTATCTTGATCCAGGAGTGCGTGAATCATTCTTCTGCTTCGACGAGGAAGCGTCCGGTGACTTGATTGCCAGCGCTGCCCGGGCAGCCGCGCTGAACATTTTTGCCGCCGTCAAGATCGTGGTCATCAACGACGAGGAATTGCCGAGGCCGTCAAAGGAGGTCGCAGCGGCCAACCCCGAGGAGCTCACCATCTGGGCCATTTGCGCATGTTTCGAGAGGCGACCGCCCAAAGGGGACCCGGAACGTGATGGACACCAGTCATGTCTTCAAGTGGAAGCACCGGAAGGGATTTGACGGCAAGACTGTCTGGACCATTTGGCGTCGCATGACGCTGATGGGCATCCGCGACGTGGGCGCCAGAGCCCTGCAGGGAGACGTTCGCTGGGGCAACGAACGGGCGTCACAACGCTTGCTGTCTTCAGAGGTGGGGCGTCGCCCAGACTGGGTGTGCGTTTCCGTGGACTTCGAGAAGGCGTTCCTACAAGGCATGACCTGCGCAGGAATGCAGGGACAAGGTGGAGCACCCGCTAGGTGAACTTCACCTTGCCGCCCCGCGGTGCAGGAATCCTTCGGCAGGTGCTCGGCTATGAGCCGCGACGAGCGGACCGAGTGCCTGCGCTGCGTCGAGCCCGGTACAGGCTGCTAGGATGCGCCCCGAGCCTTCCCCGTGAAGCTTGCCCGGGTCACGTTCCAGAGTGCAGCGCCGAAAACGCCAGGTGAGCCCGGGGTTTTAGGTTAATTGCGAGCCGTCGGGTGCATGTGGCACCGGCGTCTCGGAACTGGCGCTGATTTTGTCCAAGCGTGTCGACGACTTGAAGATCGCTGGGCACGGGGAACGCGTCGACCGGCTGATCAGCCAGATCGAGAGCGTCTTCGGCAACGAGAAATTTGATTATGACGAGTGCACCAATTGCGGAGTGCACCAGCACGGCAGTGCCGATGATACCGTGACGCTTGACCAGGACGAGTACATCGACGCTCGGATACCGATCAGACACGTCGACCTGGTCAGGGCCAAGGCTGGCCAGCTGCCTGAAGGTCAGCTTCCTGACTTTTTTGTCTGCCTCCTGGGAGCAGCAGACCGCGCCCTGCTCGTCCAGCGCCGCGTCGCAGCGTGCGTCGTCGCCCTGCAGAGAGCCGGGAACAAAGTGCTCATCCGATGCGTGATGCAGATCAACTCAGTTGGTCTGGCCGTGCAGAAGATAGAGGTATGCGTCGAAATTTCAGCCGTGGAGTGCGCCAGGCAGCTCAGCGCGCACATCGGCGGGTCGCTCAAGAGGGTGGAGGAGACAGGGTGCGGCGTGACAGGGGCCGTATGTATGCGTCTCGGCAAGTGCCGCCGCGCCCGCAAACAGGTGTACCACTTGTTGGACCCTATGAGCCGGTTGCACAAGCTGGTGTGAATATTCTCATTTGATTCCGAACTGCTCGCAGCTTGCGGCGCGGCCGACGGACTGCAGGCACGCCCCCTCGCGCTGCGCGAGATGGTGCGCGGCCCCGTCTCTTCCGAGGAGATCAGGCGGCCTGGGGGGGGGGCGGGAGGTTGCGCGATTCCTGAAGATTCTGTCCTGGATGGCATGTCCGTCTTCGGCGTTCTGCTCGGGGGCCCGACGGGGCCGCCTTCCGAGAACCGCATGGCAGTCCACCATTGGTGATTAAGCCGACCAGCTGCGCTCCGATCAAATCGAGGACCTACTTTGGTGCGACATTCGGAGCATGCAGGAAGACCCCATGACCAAGGGCATCATGCGCTGGGAGCTCACCCTCACTGTGATGGACGGCCGGCTCATTTATGACCATGACACGGTCAAGTTCAGCGACGAGAAGAACGAGGACGTTCCGAGCTTCCATCACAGTTCCTTCATCAAGAAGTGAAGCGGCGACTCGTGTGACTGTGTCGCAGTGTGGACCACTGTTGCGCCGCCCACCAGGACACAGGTCGACTTATCAAGCAGCCGCGAGATCGTCAAGCTCCGCGGGCATTGACGGTCGAGAGCTACGTGGAGGTTGAACACTCGTGTGAGTGTTGCTCCAGTGGGCTATGCCAGCTGAGCAGCAGCACGCATCTGCTTGTGCTCCACTAGTAGTCTGTCGCCCGCAGTTTGCAGGCATGTTTTTCGAGTGCGGTCAGTAGAGCACTCCCAGAAGGCACGACGGACCTGTTTGATCACCAGACTCGAACGGTATCCCTGTCAATCTTGCCCCTTCCTTGCCTGTGTCAGCTACTTGACATCCACAGCCATTAGCAAGTACATTTCCGCGCCCGGTGTCCACCGTTCTTAGCCACTTCTTACATTCCGCCGTTCAACAAGAATCCGCCCTTCACATCCGCTTTTGCATCCTTTTCTCGTGTTTTTTCTTTCCCGCACACTCGTTGGCAGAAGCGCCCAACACGTCCCCTTGTGGGCGCAGTGCGCCTGGGGACTCACAGGTGGCCTGCGCGTTCGAACCCAGCATGATGGAGAGTTTCTGGCGTGAAACTTTTTCCGCCCCCAGTCACGCTGGCCCGAAAGAGAAACGGAGTAGGCGCAAATGACGAGGCGCGCTGCGGCCCAAGGGCCGCGAGTGGCACTGCATCCACATACAGCCTCATTCTCCCTTTCCCTCGTCTGCTCGTCCTTCGTTCCCCCTTCCCCCCCACTCCTCCTCCCACTCCTCCTCCCCCTCCTCCTTTTTCTCCTCCTCCTCCTTCTCCCCCTCCTCCTCTTCCTCCGCCTCCTCCTCCTCCTTTTCATCCCCCTCCTCCTCCTCTTCCTCTTCTCTCTTCCTCCTCCTCCTCCTCCTCCCTTCTCCCGCTCCTTCTCTTCCTGCTCCTCCTGCTCCCCCTTCTGTTCCTCGTCCTCCTCCTCGCCCGTCGCGAGGGTCTTCGACATCATGGACCCGGCAGAGCCGATCAGGAACCCGAGGCCGCGGGGTTCGCCCTCCAGGAGGAGTGCCGCCCCTTCCCGTCTCCGCCCCCCCTGCCAGGATGGGCGGGTAGCAGGGGCTGGCATCGAAGAGTGGGGAGGGGGAGAGGGGGGAGGGGGAGGGGGAGGGAGGTTGGATGATGATGATGATGATGATGAGGAGGAGGAGGAGGAGAAGGAGGAGGGTGAAAAGGAGGAGGAGGAGGCGGAGGAAAAGGAGGAGGAGGAAGAGGAGGAGGAGGAAGAGGAGAATGAGGAGAATGAGGAGGGAGGAGGAGCAGGAAGGATATAGTTATAATGCTGACTAAGGTAATGAGGATTATGCTGAAACTGATGATGATTATGCTGATGATGATGACGAATATGATAATGCTGGTGATGATTATTCTTCCGATTACGATGCTGATCATGATGATGGTGATGGTGTCTGTGATGATGATAATTCTGCTGCTGCTGATGATGATGGTGATGATACTGATGATGGTGAGGATGATGCTGTCAATTATGATGATGGTGATGACGACGATGCTGCTGCTGATGATGATGGTGGTGATGATGATGATAATGTGCTGACGATTGTGGTGATGATGATGATGATGATGCTGGTGATGCTGATGATGATGCTGGTGCTGCTGCGGATAATGTTGATGAAGGTAACGATGATACGACCGTGGTTACGATGATGTCGATGATGTTGCTGTTGCTGCTGTTGCTGCTGCTGGTTTGTGGTGATGATTTTAACAATAATGCTAATGATCATGATACTGATACTGATAGTGGTAATGGTAATGGTAATGGTAATGGTAATGGTAATGGCAATGGCAATGGCAATGGCAATGGTAATGGTAGTGATGACGATGATGATGGTGATGATTACGATGATGCTGAGGATTCTAACGATGATGGTGATGATGTGATGGTGGTCTGATGATGATAATTATGGTGCTGATGATGCTGCTGATGCTGATGCTGCTGCTTCTGATGATGATGGTGATGGTGAGGATCATGATGATCATGATGATCATGATGATGCTGCTGCTGAGGATGACGATACTGATGATGATGATGACGCTGATGATGAAGATGATGATGGTGAGGATGATGATGATGCTGCTGCTGATGATGCTGATGCTGATGCTGCTGCTGCTGCTGATGGTGATGATGATGATGATGATGATGATGATGATGATGATGATGATGATGATGATGATGAGGATGAGGATGAGGATGAGGATGAGGATGAGGAGGATGATTAGATGGAGGAGAAGTAGGATAATGTGGGAGTAGATGGAGATGGCGAGGAGGGGGAGAAGGAGGAACGGAGAGGAGGGAGGATACGGAGGAGGAGGATGAGGATGAGGACGAGGATGAGGATTAGGATTATAATGATGATGAGGCTGAGGAGGAGGAGGCGGAAGAGGAGGAGGAGGAGGAGGACCGTTTGTGTGATCCCTGTGGATCCCAGCCCCATCTCTTGAGAGGCCAGCCGCGCGCGCTCTCAGGCCGCTCTCTGACCGGCTGTCTCCGCCTCATCGGCGCGCGCGAGGCTGCGATCGCGATCACCAAAACAGTGTGTTTGTATGCCTCTATGACGTGGCTCCATGCTCGGCTCCGCCCTCAGGCTCGCCCTGCACTTCAAGAACCTGCACCCCGGCACCCACACGCAGACACTCGTGGCCTGACTGTGGCTCCCTCGCCGTCCTGGTCTCTCCCGCCGCCTCGCGCCTCGGCGCGCTCTCTCCTCCTCGAGCCTCGCTGTGCCTCGGCGCGCCCCGCCGCGGCTCGACCGCTGTCTGACCCTCCTGCGGCCGCTGGCTAAAAAGTGTTTGCGTGACCTACCCTCGGATCGTACGGTGTTCCTGCCATCGAGGACGCATTCGGCGGCTCACCGCCGCCCCAGCCTTTCGGAAATGCCTGTGTCGTAAGACGTCGACCGCAAGTGTGGCCGCGCTTGTGGGCTGCGTGTCCCAACAGCTGCTGGGGAAGCCACTGGGGGGACACTGGGGGGAAGGCCCTCTGGAGAAGTCTTGTGTGGGCTGCCTGGGGCTCTTTGCCTGCTTTTTGGGCCCTTTTGGAGGCCTCCTGGGGCCCTTTTGGGCCATCTTGCCGCTCTCTGGGACTCTGTGAGGGCGGTCTGGGGGGCCGTCTTGGGGTTGTTTTGGGGCCCTGTAGGCCCGTCTTGGGGCGGTCTGGGGGACCTAGTGGGCCGTCCTGGGGCCCTCTTGGGGGCCTTATCGGCCGTTTCGGCGCGGCGAAGACGGTCCATGAATTGCAGGACGCTTTTGCGCACATTCGGGGGCACCGTACTTGCGTACTTCTGGCCATGCTCCATCCGCACGGGAAAGAGGTGGTGACAAGCTTGGAAGATGGCCCGCTGAATATTGGGTCCGCGGTCTCCAGGGAGTGTCTTCGCACGACGTTGGAAGGTTGGTCCGTACGATGTGGACTCGGCTCTTTTGTGGCTGCTGTGACCTCTTTCTCCTCCTCCTCCTCCTCCTCCTCCTCCTCCTCCTCCTCCTCCTCTTCCTCTTCATCTCATAAAAACTCCAGCGCGACTTCACACAGCGGATTCACGTTTTTGCCGCATGGTAGTATTTTGAGTCAGTGCGTGCGCGTGCTGTCATACGAGCCCTCGGTGTCGTAGTCGCCACTTCCGCCGTCAACGCCGTCATGGCCTGATGCCCTCTTCATTGCCGTCATCAGCATCGCTGCCATCTTTGCCGAGCATGGTCGGGGAAGTTGAGGTAGAGACACCCTGCGTCCTCCCGTGGTCTATCTCGAACCGATCGGTTCGATTCGACATCGACTTGCGCCGGGCCGATCCGAATCCGGCATCTCGACGATCCGTTGTGGTGCTGCTGGCTGGCCGATCCGATTCGATTCCGACTCCGTGCCGATGCAGCCCGATGCGACGCACACTCCGATTCGACCCGGTTTCCCGACGCGATGCTGGCCGAGCTTGGCTCTTGCCGCCGTGACGACGGGGCAGGGCAGGAGGCGATCCTTCCAGTCGGACCGCGAGCGCTTCGTGAGAGCCGCGCAGCGGACCAGAGACTGGACGGGAGGGCTGCCCACGGCGTGGAAGATGACTGGGGGGGGGCGGGATCAGAAGGGAGGAGGAGCAGGAGGCATGAGGAGCAGGAGGGACAGGAGGGAGAAGGACGAGGAGGAGGAGGAGGAGGAGAAGGAGGAGGAGGAGGAGGAGGAGGAGGACAGAGGGGGGAGGAGGAGGAAGTAGGAGGGAGGAGAAGGAGGAAGGAGAAGGCAAGGGGAGGAGTTAGGGGAGGCGACGGAAGCGGAGTGTTTTGACGCTTCGCGTCCTCCCTTCTTCAGGCCTCCTCGTCCTCGTCCTCGTCGTCCTTCTCCCCCCCTCCTCCTTCTGCTTCTCCTCATCGTCCCCCTCGTCCTCCCTGTCATCGTCCTCCTCTTTAGCACTCCCATCCTCGCAGCCGATGTCGCCGTCGTCGTCGTCGTCGTCGTCGTCGTCGTCGTCGTCGTCGTCGTCGTCGTCGTCGTCGTCCTCTTCCTCTTCCTCATCCACCTCCTCCTCCATCTCCCCCCACCCGTGTCCTCATCCCTCCGCGCTTCGCACTCCCCTTCGCACCCTCGTCCCCCTCCGCATTCTTGACGCCTCGCGCATCCCCACCGGCCCGGCCAGGGGCGATTCTCAGCCGACTTGCCTCGAGATCGGCCCGAGCTGCCCGCCACAACGGCCAACCTGGGGGGGCCCTCGGAGGCTCTCGGAGGCTCCTTTGGGTCCTTGGGATCCCTTCGTGATGATCGATGAAAAGAGGGGGTCCTCAGTCTAGGTCCCCTGTCTGTCGGGGCCCGAGAAATCGCCCCTGGGGGCCCTCTCGGGGCGTTCTCGGGGCGCTCTGGGGGGCGCACCTCTCACGCGTTTCGTGGCCCCATAGGAAGCTCCACCGACGGCCCCCAGTGGCTGCGTTCGCATGCGCCCAACGCGCCCAATTTTGGTACACGCCTCACACGTTTCGTTGCCCCACAGGGAACTCCGAACGCGGTGCATACAACGACGGTCTTCACAACTGCATATGGTTGGGTCCTTCGCAAGGCAAATTCCAATATGCCGCCCCAGTCCTCCTGCGGCCCCAGTTCTCCCGACCACTTCCCCAGGGACACTTTTTCGCCACGGGTCGGTCTTTGACGGTCCTGGGCCCCGATCCAGTGGGCCCCGTGGGCCGGGGTCGCGAAACGACGCCGGGATCGAACGACTCCTGCCCCTGCAGATCCGGGGAGACCGCCGGGGCTCCAGGAGGCATCCGAGGCCAGCGGGCCTCGGCTTCTGGCCCTCGATGTCGCCCCTGCTCCTCCTGCTGCTCCTGGTGCTCCAGCCGGTCTTCTTCGGGCCGGGGCGTTCTTGTTCGCCGGGTCTCGGGCCCCGGGGGCCTTCGGCTCGAGGGACCCAGGTCTCCGGCGCCGTCGCTTCCTCGAGCCTGCTCCTGCTCCCCCGGGAGCTGGCCGTGCTGGCTCCAGTGGCGAGTGCGAGGCAACCCTCCCCCCCCCCCCACGGGGGCCGTTGTCCCTCGAGGGAGGTTGATCACGCCCCAGCGGCCCACTGCCGCCGGGGAGGGCGCTCCCCTGAGACATCGAGCGTCACTGAGACCTCGTTGGGTGGGATCTCGGGCCACGGCTGCCTTGGCCAGACCTGGATGGCGTGATGCTCCCCCTCCTGCTCATCGTGTGCTCCTCTGCACCCTGCTCCTCCTCTGGCTCCTCTTCCGGCTACTCCTCTGCCCCCCCCCCTTCTGCTCCTCTGCGTCCTCCTGCTCCCAGCCCGCTCGCCTCCTGCTCCTTCTCCTGCTTGGAGGAGGGGGAGGATGAGGAGGAGGAGGAGGATGAGGATGATGATGATGATGATGATGATGATGATGGCTACTCCTCTGCCCCCCCCCCTTCTGCTCCTCTGCGTCCTCCTGCTCCCAGCCCGCTCGCCTCCTGCTCCTTCTCCTGCTTGGAGGAGGGGGAGGATGAGGAGGAGGAGGAGGATGAGGATGATGATGATGATGATGATGATGATGATGGATGATGATGATGATGATGATGATGATGATGATGATGATGATGTGATGATGATGACGATGATGAGTGATAGATGATGATGAGATGATGCTGATGATGCTGATGATGCTGATGATGATGATGGGAGAAATGATGAGAGATGAGGGAGGAGGAGGACGGAGGAGGAGGAGGAGGAGGAGGAGGAAGAGGGAGGAGGAGGAGGAAGAGGAGTAGGAGGAGGAGGGAGGAGGAGGAGGAGGAGGAGGAGAGGAGGAGGAGGAGAAGGAGAAGGAGGCGAAGGCGGAGGAGGAGAGGAGGAGGAGGAGGAGGAGGAGGAGGAGGGAGGAGTGAGGAGGAGGAGGAGGAGGAGGAGGAGGCCGCCGCGCTTCCGTTGGCTCGTCGGGAGGTGCTCGGCGTCTCCGCAGTGCGGCGGGAGGCTGAGCAGCATCGACGAGACGCCCGAAGAGTTGCTGTCGAGGTCTCGGGGGGCGGCCTCCTTCGTCCCTTTCTCCTTCTCCTCCTTTCCCTCTCATCCTTCGTTTCCTCCTCCTTCTCCTCATGGTCTTTCTCCTCGTCTCCTGCTCCTCCTCTCCGCTTCCTCCTCCTCCTCCTCTTCCTGCTCCGCCTTCCCTCCCTCCGTGTCCTCCTCGTCCTCTTCCCTGCTCGTCCTCCTCGTCTTCTCCTCCTCCTCCTCCTGCTCCGCCTTCTCTTCCTCCTCCTTCTCCTTTTCCTCTTATACCACCTCCCCCTCGGGTTTGGGGAGAGAGAGGGAAGAGCCGGGAGGTGGGGGAGGAGGAGGAGGGAATGGAGGAGGGGGATCGAGCTGTTCATTTCTGTTTGCCTCCCTAAGCTTCCCAGGGGGCCTATGGGCGATATCAGGGGACCTTAGGGGGACAAGGAGGAAAAGAGGGATGACGAGAAGGAAGAACATGAGGTACATGGATAGGAGGAGTCTGATAAGTTAAGGGATGCGAGTAAGGGAGGAGGAGGAGGAGGAGGTGGAGGAGGAGGAGGAGGAAGAGGCGGAGGAGGAGGAGGAGGAGGAGGAGGAGGAGGAGGAGGAGGAGGAGGAGGAGATGAGGAGGAGAGAGGAGGAGGAGGAGGGGGAGGCGGAGGAGGAGGAGGAGGAGGAGGAGAGGAGGAGGAGGAGGAGGAGGGGAAGGAGGAGGAGGAGGGGAGGAGGAGGAGGAGGAGGAGGAGGAGGAGGAGGAGGAGGAGGAGGAGGAGGAGGAGGAGGAGGAGGAGGAGGAGGAGGAGGAGGAGGAGGAGGAGGAGGAGGAGGAGGAGGAGCGAGGAGGAGGAGGAGGAGGAGGAGGAGGAGGAGGAGGCGGAGGAGGCGGAGGGAGAGAGAGGAAGAGTATGAGGAGGAGGAGGAAGAGCAGCAGGAGCAGGATGCAGGGGCAGGAGCAGGAGGCAGGAGTGAGGAGAGGAGGTGGAGGAGGAGGAGGAGGCAGGAAGAGGAGGAGGGCGAGAGGGAGGAGGTAGGGGGAGGAGGAGGAGAGGAATGAGGAATACGAGGAGCGGAGGTGGAGTAGGAGGAGGGCAGGAAACGAAGGGGAGGCGGACGCTGGAGGAGGAGGAGGAGAAGAGGAGGAGGAGGAAGAGCAGTAGAGAGCAGGAGCAGGAGCAGGAGCAGGAGAGGAGAAGGAGGAGGAGGAGAAGGATGAGGAGGAGGCGGAGGAGGAGGACGAGGAGGAGGAGGAGGAAGAGGAATATGAGTAGGTGGAGGAGGAGGAGGAGGAGGAGCAGGAAAAGAAGGAGGAGGCGGAGGATGAGGAAGAGGAGGAGGAGGAGAAGGATGAGGAGGATGAGGACAAGGAGGATGAAGAGGACGACTAGGAGGAGGAGGAGGCGGAGGAGCAGGCGGAGGCGGAGGAGGATGAGGAGGAGGAGGATGAGGAGATGGATGATGATGATGATGATGATGCTGATGATGATGATGATGATGATGATGATGATGATGATGATGATGATGATGATGATGATGGTGATGACGATGATGCTGACGTTGACGCTTCTGCTGATGATGATGATGAGGAGGACGAGGAGGAGGAGGAGGAGGAGTTGGAGGAGGAGGAGGAAGACGATGGCGATGATGGTGAGGAGGGGGAGGGGAGGAGGAGTTGGAGGAGGAGGAGGAGGCGAAGGAGAGGGAATCACAATAAGACGAGCACTACTCACGCTACTTATTACACGACTAATACCAAGAAGGTTATGAAGGAGACGACGCCGAAGACGAACCACACGAATACGAAGACACATACTAATCTCAATACTACTACTAATAAAGGAACGACTAAGAATAGTAACACTAGCAGTAGTAAGACAACCACGAGCTCTACTAGTACGAACATTGACATTATCACTACGAAGAAGACGAAGACGAAACCTATTAATCAGAAGGAAGGGGCGACGAGCAATACGCACAGTAAGACTAATACTACGACTATTCAGACGAATACTATTCCAAACGTTATGAAGAATACGTACACTACTACAAATAATAAGAAGACGGCGAATACTACTCTAACACGAAGAATACCACGAACGTTGGGACACACACGACGAATGCTAATACGAACGTTTAAACGACTAATGCACATACTAAGTCTATAGATAACCATTAGAAGACGACCAAAACTACAAGTAGTAAGGCGAAGACGACGACGACGCATACTAATACTAGTGTCAAGAATATTATTAACAATCATAATCAAACAACTACTATTTCACTACTACTAGTATTACACATACGACTACTAATATAAATACTGCGATTGATACCACTGACCAGAAACCAATCATACGATGGTGATGTTGAGGAGGAGGCGGAGGAGGATGAGGAGGAGGAGGAGGAAGATGAGGAGGATGAGGAGGAGGACGAGGATGATGAGGACGAGGAGGACGAGGAGGAGGAGGAATAATAGAAGGAGGAAGAGGAGGAGGAGGAGGAGGATGAGAAGGACTATGATAAGAACGAGGAGGAATAGGAAGAGGACGAGGAGGATGAGGAGGAGGAGGATGAGGACGAGGAGGAGGAGGCGTATGCGGAGGCGTATGCGGAGGCGGAGGCGGAGGCGGATGCGGAGGCGGATGAGGATGAAGAGGAGGATGAGGGGGAGGAGGCGGAGGAGGAGGATAATGAGGATGAGGAGGAGGGATGAGGAGGAAGAGGAGGAGGAGGCGGAGGAGGAGGAGGAGGAGAGGGAGGAGGAGGAACATTATGAGGAGGAGGAGGATGAGGAAGAGGAGGAGGAGGAAGAGGAGGAGGAGACAGAGGAGGAGGAGGAGGGGGAGGAGGAGGAGGATGAGGATGAGGATGAGCATGAGGATGAGGATATTGAGGAAGACGATGAGGATGAGGAGGAATAGGAGCATGAGGAGGAGGAGGAAGAGGAGGAGGATGATACGGATGAGGATGCTGAGAATTATGATGATGATGACGATGCTGATAATGATGATGATGATGATGCTGATGATGATGATGATGTGATGACGATGACGATGATGATGAATAATGAGAGATGCTCCTTTTTGTTTGTATATTTCTTTGTTGGCTTTTTTGTTGTGTTTGAGGAGATTTTTTTTGCTTGAGGTTTTTCTTTTTTCTGGTTTCTTTTTTCTTTCTTTTGTGGTTTGTTGCTTTTTATTTGGTGTTGTTGTGCGGATGATTATGATGATGATGCTGAGGATGGTTATGATGAGTCTGCTGATGCTTGTGACGATGCTGATGCTGCTGATGATGATGCTGATGATGATGCTGCTGGTGGTGATGCTGATGATGATGCTGCTGATGCTGATGATGACGACGACGATGATGATGTTGATGATGATGATGATGACGACGATGATGATGATGATGATGATGATGATGATGATGACGACGACGACGACGATGATGATGATGATGATGAGGAGGAGGAGGAGGAGGATTATTCTTTACGCTTCGCGTATCCCCACCAGCCCATCTCACAGCAGCAGCTCTCGCGAAGCATGTCGACAGTTGTGTTTTTCAGGCGTGTGTCCGCTGGGCTCCGTATATCTCCCCTGTCCCTCCTTCCTCCCGCCTCCTTGTGAATCCTCCTTGTGGGGGGGAGCGGAAGAAGGACGAGGCGGAGGAGGAGGGAGAGAAAGCGCTCCTCTTGATTTGAGTCGTTTGGGGTTTCTCGTCCTGGTGTGAGTCGTTCGGGCCCTTCCTCCTGGTGTGAGTCGTTCGGGCTCTTCGTGGTGTGAGTCGTTCGGGCTCTTCGTCCTGGTGTGAGTCGTTCGGGCTTCTCGTGGTGTGAGTTGTTCGGGCCCCTCATCCTGGCGTGAGTCGTTCGGGCCCCTCCTCCTGGTGTGACTCGTTCGGGCTCCTCGTGGTGTGAGTCGTTCGGGGCCCGCGTCGTGGTGTGAGTCGTTTGGGCTCATCGTGGTGTGAGTCGTTCGGGCGCCTCGTCCTGGTGTGAGTCGCTCGGGCCCCTCCTTGTGGTGTGAGTCGTTCGGGCTCTTCGTGGTGTGAGTCGTTCGGGCCCCTCGTCCTGGTGTGAGTCGTTCGGGCTCCTCGTGGGGCCTCTTGGGGGCCTCTTGGAGCCTCTTGGGGGCCTCTTGGGGGCCTCTTGGGGGCCTCTTGGGGGCCTCGTGGGGCCCTTGGGGGCCTCTTGGGGGCCTCTTGGGGGCCTCGTGGGGCCTCTTGGGGGCCTCTTGGGGGCCTCTTGGAGGCCTCTTGGGAGCCTCCTGGGGGCCTCTTGGGGCCATCTTGGGGCTTCTTGCGACCTCCTCAGAAGCGCAAATGAGCGCTGCCCCCTGAGAAGGACAAACTGAGCCCAACACCTTCGTAAAATCAATGATTTTGCTAGGAGGGAAGATAAGCGCGCCCCCCTCAGAAGGCCAAAATGGGCCCAAAACCTTAGTAACATCAATGATTTTTGCTTCACAGAAGAGGAGGGGGCTACAAGAGCGCCCCCCCCGTCGGGGCCAGAATCCTTGTGAGGGTAGTTCCCCACATTCTAAGTGGGGTTCTGATTTTCTCTACACCCGCGTCACACCCGCGTTTCCACCTCACCTCCTCCTTCTCGCTCGTACACACACCACACCAACCACACCACATCGCACCACACCACACCACGCCACACCACACCACACCACACCACACCACCCGTGTGTGGCACTTTCTCGTCACTACAGGGGGTGCGCAGGGGGTGGTCCCTGAGCTCGGCTGCGGGTGCGCAACACCACACCACACCACACCACACCACACCACACTACACAACACCACCCGTGTGTGGCACTTTCTCGTCACTACAGGGGGTGCGCAGGGGGTGGTCCCTGAGCTCGGCTGCGGGTGCGCAGGGGGGGGGGTCTCTGAGCGCGGCCGCTATCCGCGACGGTCGTCCAGGCACAGCAGGCGTGGCATTTTCTCGACACCATGGGGGATGCGCAGGGGGTGGTCCCTGAGCGCGGCCGCTATCCGTGACGGTCGTCCAGGCACAGCAGGCG